GCGGACGATACAATGAGATAACTGAAAAAAGCGTATTATTCAATGTAAATTTAATTTTTGTTATAGTAACTTGAGATTTGGGAAGTTTTGTACTATTAATAGTTTCATTAATCTTTGATCTAATAAATATGAACACTCCATCGTTTTTATTAAAATTTCCAGAATCATAGTAGCTAGTATATCCCGGCAAACAGAACTGATTAGAGTTATCAATCATCCAACATTCGCTTAGTACAATTATATCGCAGTAATTGATTTTATAGGCTTCCAGAAATGTTAAAAGATTGTCAAAATTTTGCCTTATACTACGTATGTTTAAATGTATTAAACTAAGAAGTTTATTACTTGTGCTATTGTTTTGATCAAGATTGTTAGGATTAATTATTACGGGGATAATTGCACTGCCTGATATTTTCTCTAGTATGTCGGATTCAGTTGAATTCATAATTCAAAATTAAAAATAACAATTTATACCTTATATTTCTAAAATTACTATTCTAGTTTAGCATTAAAATTAATCTTCTCCCTAGCAAGCCGACACTTCTTGGCTAGAATAGGGCAGTGTCTTTCATCTTCGCTGTCATGATCAAACGGTTGATCAGCATTGAATTTACCGTGCACATAAAAACAATTTACACATTTCTTAACCTTCTTATCACACTTTAATCGGTCATGTGGACCCGCACAATATGTACACTTTTGATCTTCACGACAATTAGCGGATTTATGCCGAACACTCCACATCTGAAGCAGCGAATTATTTTTAGGTTTTCATGGACTTGGCAGCTACTCCACCCCAGATCCAATCTTGTGTTGACTAATTTGTTGTATGTGTGTCCAGCTGTTTCAGCAAAAACTGTCCACTTTTTGGATTTTTTCGATTGTCTCGTAAAAGTTATTTTTATTTTATCGTTTTCGTTTAAAATTTTACTGTTCAATAATTTTAGGTCTCGTTGTAATTCTTCACCCTCTTTATATTCTTTAAGTAGCCCAGTTATTTTTATTTGCGGTTTGAATTGGTCTTTCATCTCAATGTTATACTTTGTATCTAGCTTACTTTGAACATGTGTTTTTAATTTTTCAAGGTTTTCTGCACTGTCGCTTTTTATTATGACACAACCACTTTTTGTATAGTTATAATATTTGATAGGCGCGCTGGCAGCTGCGGGATTTATTTTTTGTTTTAATTCTTGAATTGTAGCTTCTTTTGTTTGTGATTTTTTTGGTTTAATTACCAATGTTCTTTCATGACAAATATTCTTATTTTCTTCAGTTTTAATAGCGCTATTGGTCAGGGCATCAGCGTATGACAAAAATTTTTGTGGTTTAGTTTCTAGTTTCCCTTCTATTTCATTTAGTTTATTTAAAATTTTCTTACTTGTTGTATAGTCATCCCACATCCTTTCCAAATTATTTTTACAGGTTGGACATAACCATGTAATTAAATTTTTTATGGCTTCCATTTGATTTAGTTGCTTTTTAGTTATGTTCAGACACGTTGTATGATACCATGATCTACATTGGCCTTCGCAGAATATTGATAATTCATTATCACTTATTGATTTATTGCATGTTTTACACACCTCACTGTCCTCACTCGAATCATCCTCGCCCGTATTGCCGGCGGGCGGCATTGTTTTAGTTTTTGTTTATCGATGCTGTATCAAAAATACGCACATTACTTTACTTAGAATAACTCGCGCACGACGTTGTTAACCGGTCAACGGCTAGAACAGTTGGTAACACATTTTTATTAAAATGGTCATAATTTGAATTATTGTTATTCGATTTGTAGGGGTATGTTTATAATGTATTTATCATAATGAAAAAGTGTTAAGATCTTAGGTTAAGATCGTAGATGATATTTATATCAAAAAGACATTCGCCAGTAATTTATTACATTTTATTTTTTTCTTCCAACCTATAGCCTAATTTTTCAAACTGTCACTATATTTTTAAAAACAAGTTGTTTACAAAATGGTAACAAAAAGACCTTGGTTTAAGTGCAAATAGCCCCGACCGGAACAAGTTAGAGGCTGCTTTCGCACATTATTAGTACATACCTATGTATTTAGTAAAGGATAGCTTTGACATTTTTTGTTAATTTTGAAATATTATTAAACCACCAATAAATATTCTTTGAAAATGTCACAAGGACTGTATTTTAGTTGAATTGATGCTAAATATCCATGTTATTTGTTAATAAGTTTAAAAAAAAAGTAATTTGCATTTCGGTGATTCCTTTTAAAAATTGCTCGATTTTCAAAAAATGTTTGTACGTATAAACTATTCTTTATTGATTCTGATAGAGTTTTTTATTCTATTTTTACCTCTTGAAATTTTTCGCTGTAATGCACCGTTTTCGAGTTATTTACATTTTTTCCCAAAAAGTACCAAAATTCAAGATGGCTGCCGATTTTTTTTTGATGACGTACACATCGGACAAATGGGGACTTTTAGTATGATAATAAGGGTTACTAAGGCTAACTATTCTCAATGGTCGCAGCTTTCTAAAAATTTTTGCAAATTCAAAATTATTTGCACTGGCCTATAAAATCCATATCCATGCATATATAAAAGCTCAAAGGGTTTTTTGTTACATCCATCCCGCCGAAACCCCTTCACCAATCTTGACGATTCTTTTTTTAAATGAAAGGTATATATGTCTAGATTTGTTATGAAATATTTTTATATTGTTTAATGGCTATTTCTTTGTGTAAAACGACTAAATACTAAAACATACCTGAAAAACACCTACAAACAATACCTCCAGAAATAAATTATTTGTCATTGTCATTGGTGTGTCAGTTAGATTATATATCAAGTTTTTAGATATTTTAGGGATCAGTTCATACCGCCAGCTTTAGATACATAAATATTAGCACAAAGTTTCGTTTAAATTAAACAATAGTGAAGCTCCCCAAAGGATTTTAGGAAATTCGTCCTCCTAGAGAGTAAAATTATGTCGGAACAATTTGTTGTATGAAAATTCCTTGCTATCTGGTCTAGAAGAATGAAATACTACAGAAAGAATTAGAAGAGATTTTTGAAATCCATCAACCAAATGGGTAAAGTTAATAAAAATGTATATAAAACTTGGTGACCTCTGGATTATACACATAAAAATCGATTATTTAAAAGGCATGAGTTAATTATTTGGATAAAGCGAATTTATGAAATTTATACCCTAGGGAAGTAGATTAGGGAATGAACGTTTTCTGTGCGAAAATGCATTACTACAGGATTTAGAAGATAAGATTTTATACAAGGGTTTATTTACTGACATCATATAACGAAATATTTCTTCTACAAATCATAATTCTAGGAATAAAAAAAACGTGTAAAGAGAGTATTAGTACCCTTAATAAATAAAAAAAAAAAGAGATGAATATCAAGAAAAGCGACAAATGAAAAAAAAATGGCTAAGAGAATAAAAGTTAAAAGAAAGACAGAAGTTTAAAGAGAATAAAAATGCTCTTGAAATTGGCATATTGACGGCTTTTTATAAATTTTAAGTAAAACATTTGTAATAAGTCAAAAATAACAAAATCGATTTTTTGAAAGGATATACAGGCCGAATGTTAAATAAGTGCAATTATTTTTAGCGGTTGTATATTTTGACCCCAGAAACACCACACGATTCGCGAAATTTTTTTTTTAAATTTGGAATTTTTTGAAAAACTTTTTGGATTTTTTTTTTAGTTTTTAGTTAGAAACCATAATTTCTTAGTAGTAGAATAAATTTACCAGACAGAAAAACCGAAAAAGATCCAGTACCAAGTAAAATAACTCGGTTATTTTGGAGGTAAAGAGAAAATATGTTTCTTTTATCAAGATCTACCAACACTGAAAATATTTGCACTTATTCAAAACTCGCCCTGTATAACACCCAGAAAATCGACAAATGCTAACTTTCATATGAAATACGAGTAGCTCTAAAAAACATAGTTTAAATAGTGCATTTGTAGCACCAGCTCTGTCTATAAAGAGGGAAACAATAATTTAAATCAATGCATCAACGATTCGAGGTGTAACGCGAACGTAGTAGCGGGAAAAAGCTAGTATGTAATAAAGGACCCCACAATTAAAACAACTGTTTGCCGAATGTGCGGAGAAGGAAACGAGAATATAGAACATAACACATTATTAGTGGTTGTACAACGCTGGCTTCAAGAGAATACCGACAGACATAACAACGTACATTAACGAGCGCATTCCATATTATAATTATGTCCCAATGAACGTCCTAGAGAATGATGCATGTAGATTATATACTGGGATAGAGAAATATTAACAGATCGGACAGTGCAGCACAACAAACCAGACATATGTCTGCTGGACAAATTCAAAAAAGAAATCTATCTTATTGACATCGCTGTCCCTGCCCCTACAAATGTCAACCGAAAACATCAAGAAAAGATCGACAAGTATACCTTACTAGCACAGTATATGAAAGAAGTCTGGGGAGTAGATAAGGTGTCAGTGGTGCCTATAGTGATTGGATCAACTCTAGAAATCCCCAAGCAGCTCCTTCACAATCTGAAAAAACTGGAACTTAATTAAAATCTTTACATACAACTCCAGATGTCAGTTATTCTCGCAACATGCAACATAATGAGAAAAGTATTAAACTTGAGAAGATAGCTAAAAACTATTGTCTTTCCCCTTGGGACCGGAAAGAATCTGATAACTACTAGCCGTAGGGATCTCCTGTAAAATTAGTAAAATGGCGCTTATCATGTTTTCCCCTGCACCCTTCACATTTGATCGACATCTCGGCACTGATCATCATCGACAGAAATTCTTTAATGGTTATTTCGGTTTTGCCGAAAGTTATAATTCGGTGGTCGTAACAATATATTTTGACACATGTACTTATCAATGATTTAAATTATTTTTTTTTTTCAAAGTTTATCATTGTTTAAGTGCAATTGGCAATCCCCCTTGTTTCCACTACCTAGTATTTTCATATTATTACAATATTATCATTTTATTTTTAGATATGAGTCATCTGCTGGTATGAAGAGCTCTATTATGCATAATTTTGTTTTGGGTGGCTATGTTGAGGAAGCTCTCAATATTTACAAGGATATTAAGTCCTTACATCCAGACTTTTTATTGGATAGTTTTAAATTTATTGATTTGGCAGCGTTATTGTTTAAAAATGATAGATTTGATGAGGCTCTTCACATTTTAGAATCTGAACCTTTAAATAGGTGAGTTATTGATGTATTAATATAATAAGTACAGTTTTTACGTCATTGCTAATCTTAATAGTATCGTCATAATAGCGGTTAGTTACCATTACCAAGTTTTTGATTATTAAACTATAACTATTATTTTATTAATATTAATGTACTTTTTTTATTTGCATAATACATTTTACTATGTTATATAGTTAACTTTTGAAAACGAATCCATAGTAAGATTTTATATTTTTAAAGGTATTAAAAAACTAAAAAAGGTTTAAAAAGAAAAAGTAAAGGTATTATTTTATTAATTTTTAAAGGTACTAAGATATTTATTACTTTTGATACTATTTATCTCTTTCATTTCCGTATCTTTTATTTTCTTAAAAAACTTTTTTAAAACCATTAAACTAGCATAAGGAAATCTCAAGGAATACTACATTTGTAAAATTAATTACAATTACAGGGATAAAATCTAAAGCAGCATTGTCAGTAATCATTCAGAATTGAAAGAGACCGCGCGCGCAAAAATATGTACTAACCATAAATACATAAATAACAAAACTCTTTGTTATTTTCAGTTTTCATTATTTCTGAAAGCTGAAGATTTTACAAAACAGCAGTTATATGGCAAGAAATATTTTTATTTTAAGTACTCGTATAGGTATATACAGGTCGCGCACCTCATTTGTCTCGGTTGATTATACGAAAACAGGCAACAAGGCAATGTGCATAATTTAAAATTATTTTGAAATGTACAGGATGTGTCAGAACTAAGATTCATACCAAAGTTAAATTTTTTCTTACGGAACACCCGTTATTTTATTTCATTTTTAGATTCTTGGACATAAAATCAGGCATTTATTATAAGGGTTTAATATATTTACAAGCTTTGGTTTTTGAGATATTTAAATCTGCATGCTATAATAAAAAAGTGTCGACACCATAGACTTAAAATAAAATATAGACTACATTATTTACATCTAAACCCGGTCAAACAATCTTTTTTTTACACGTTTACTTCTGGATACAGTCGACCGAGCCTTCCTCATCCAGCCTATGTTGTCACGTCTTTAATATTATCAATATTTTTTTTCTTGTTATACACATATATTGAGATGTTAATACTACATTTTAATAAAGTAGGTTTTAATATTCCATAGATGTCTTAAATAGTCCTTATACTACTAAATTATAAGTCGGATACTATTTAAAAAGGATAAGTTCTTTACAATATGGCAACACCGATTAGAGGCGAGGTCGCATATTCATTAATTTATTACCTTGTAGTACGTGTCGCACGTGTGCGGTAAAGCTTTGTTGCCGCTATCTCCCCGGCTGTATTAACGCATTTTCTTAGCTTGTAGTCCTTAAGTGTTTATTTTATTTACTTTTAGTTGAACTTACTGTTCAAGAACTATAAAATATGGTTCGCCAGTGCCAAATTTGCAAGAAATTTTACTTAAATAATCCATTTAAGTCTTGAAACGACTTTCGACCGGTAGACAACTTTCAATTTACCCATTGGGAGTCAGTGGCGTTGTTGTAGAACGGCGCTTATTTAGATAATATTTTAGTAAAATGTAAAATCTGAATTTTTTCTCTTACATAATCATTTATATAAAGGTTTTTGTAGCAAAATCATAATTATTATAACCCTGTTAATAATTAATAATGTTTTTATTAAAAATATATTCCGGTTTATTCTAAAATTATCTTCAAAATCTAAAATAACATACAAGAATTTTAAAATGATATTACATTATGAAACAATATTTTTTAATATACCGGGTTCGTCTCAAAAGTGGCTCACCCCTATAACTTTATTATTTTTTCAGATAAAAAAAACAGATTTGTATATTAGTAGGCATATGACATAAATTAGGATTGATTGACGTATTCAATTGTTTTTGGTCTCTTCCTGTTTCACCGGGAATGATTACATCTTTTGATTTTTAAAGACACCCTCGGTATATTGCTACTTTATTCGATAAAAAAATGACACTCTGAATAGAATGACATATCATGTCAACTTTTGACATTGTCGCTTAAAAACAAATCGTATTTTAAATTTCAATCCAGAGTGCCATGGTGTTGTTAAAAACACTAAGTTTTAATCAAGGACCCTTGAAAAAATAGTTTTGATCGTCTAATGGGTTTCGTGTCTTGTCTAGGCCGGTTAAAAGATGTACAAATCGTATTTTTAATCATATGTCAATTTTTTCAAATTGAACAAGATTACAGTTGAGGGTTGGAATCTTTGGTGTTACACAGCAAAATAAAACTTTTTACTTTTACACTGTTACACATACAAGTTTATAATCATCTATAAACCTAGTTTATAATCATCTGCTGATGATGCATGATAACATGGTTAGCGAAACGCGCGTCCAGTGTAAAAGTAAAAGTGTTTTGGTGTATTGTGGTGATTTAGAATTGAACAAGGGTGACTAATTAGCATATTTGGACAAAGCATTTTTTTTATAAATATATTGATACCAAACACTTGGTATTTCGAGTCAAATTGTCGTTATGAACCGCGTGTTACAATTACAATTAAACCATATGCGAAAATGTCAAAAGTTGACATATGATATGTCATTCTATTCAGAGTGTCATTTTCTATCAAATAAAGTAGAAATATACCGAGGGTGCCATTTCAAAATTAAAAGTTATAGTCATTTCCGGTGAAATAGGAAGTGACCAAAAACAATTGAATGCGTCAATCAATCCTAATTTATGTCATATACTAGCATACTAAATCTTGTTTTTTTTATTTGAAAAAATAAAAAAATTATGGGGATGAGCCACTTTTGGGACGCACCCGGTATAATAAAGACAGTACCGAGTTAAATAAATGTAGTTTTCATTTTATCCACTTCCTATCACCTTCCTTGCTTTAATGGAACAGATTTATGTTTTCTCTAATTTACATAAATAAGACATCACTTAACCAGAAAAAAAAATTACAACAATCATATTTTTTTTTCTCTCCCTGTCGCCGATTCTATTTTATCTGTAGAATAGATCCTGTTTTGATTAATATTAGGGGTTGTAAATGTTTGACTAAAATTAATATATTTTTTAATAATATCAAAAATTACGTAATTTCGATTATAAAGTTTCTTCTATAACATGTATTTTATTATTTTTATCCTTTTTGGACTCTAAGACGTTTTTTCTAAACTTTTATTTAAAAAAAACCTCTCCTAAATCTTAATTAATATAAAAAAGTTTAAATACGATATATTTTTAATTTAATTATAGCTTCATTAAAATAAAAAAATTACCCGGCTATGATACGGAGAGTTCATTTGTACTTGAGAAACGAAAGACAGTGTTGCGTTTCTCGTCAGAGTCGTCAGGGCAGGGAACGACCGTTACGACAGAGACAACCTATCTATCGCTCGTGTCGCACTCGTTATAACCTAAAACAATAACACAACAATAACAAGACATTGTCTGACCGCATGTTCCAGCTATTTATGAATGAGATGTTCAGTCTATATTTTATTTTAAGTCTATGGTCAACACCTTGTACATTACTTTTTAGAATTAATTGTGCCAATTTTCAAGCCAGAGAAATACACTTTACTAAAAAAAATCTAAATGTATACAGAGGTATCAAAAATTGCTGGTCTATTGTCTATTTTAAATATTTATTTTACATAGAAACTTCGTTATTTCTGTTGCGGACCCGTGCCGTGTGAACTCAGCCTTAGGCCTGGCCACTCGCCTATGACTCATACGCCCAGCAATGCCGACGTTCTAAGAACTAATAAGAATTGACTAGACAAATATGGATTGTCTGTTTCTGTACTATATAAGCAGACGCCCGGGCCTAAGGAGGATAGAGATAAACCGATCGACGCGTACAGTTAGAATCGCCGCGCTAATTCAAAATAAATTTCTGTTAGATAAATAATTAGATAAATTGTAAATATAGTTATAAATAGTTCTTTAAGTCTTTTATCGTTATTGTTTTTGTTAATTAGTGTTAAATAAATTGTGTTTAAATAAATTGTGACTTTCTATCCACACGGAACCGACGAAAAACCTAACAATTGGTGTCAGGTGTGGGGTGTGTGAGACTAAAAAAAATAAATAATTAAGACTGACAATGGGTTCTAAAAAATTGTTGAATGACTTGAAAGTGTCGGAATTAAAATGCATACTGGAAGAGAGAAAATGTGAGACAGATGGGAAAAAAAGCATTTTACAAGCAAGACTAAGAGATGTTCTGATCGAGGAAGGTGAGGATCCTGACACATTTTGCTTTGAGTTAGAAGGTGATCTTGACTCGTCATTGAAAAATTTGCAAGACAATTTAAACGACAATTTGAACAGTAAGATAATTAATTTGGAAGACAATTTGAATAGTAAAATAATTGATTTGGAAGTTAATTTAGAAGATAAAATCAGTGATAAAATGACGGAAAATTTCCAAAAATTAGAAGATAAAATTAATATTTTAGAAGATAAAATTGCAGAAAATTCCAAAGACATACAGGCCAGCTTTAATAATAAAATAATTAATTTAGAAGAAAATATAACAGAAATTATAGAGAATTCTACTGAACTACAAGATAAAATAACACAAATTGAGGACGATGTAAACAGAAAAATCGAGATTTTGAGAGAAGAAATGGGAAAGGCAAATTCACTAAAATGTCAAGAAACACCGGAGGACCCGAAACTAGTCGAAAATAAGTATACCTCAAAGTCAGTTATGAAGCCTCCACAGTGTGACGGAAAAACCGCTTGGGCCAACTACTTTTGCCAATTTGAAGCCGCTGCGAGAGCGAACGGCTGGACAATCGCTGAAAAAGCAACCGCTTTGACTATCGCACTACGGGGAGATGCGACTGACATCCTGCAGACACTCTCACCATCGGAACAGGGAGATTATCAGCAATTGGTACGACATTTGGAAATGAGATACGGCCAGGCTCATTTAGAGCATGTCTACCATTCCCAGCTCAAAAATCGCATTCAGAAGTCAAATGAGTCTCTGCAGGAGTTTGAAG